TCTCTTATCAGAATCACGAAGGAAGGAAACAGCTCGTTGAATTAATTCTCGCTTCTCTCTTCACGATTCTACATTATTTCCAAAATATCACGTTCTTTCTTTCGTCAGATATATATCGCGACGCGTCTATTATTCGACGAAATACAATTCGGCCATGTTGCAAAGAAAACAAATTCATGAATAATCGAATCGATGTTTCTGACGAGAGAATCTATTTCGCGTTTTTCCGTGAAAATGAATCACACGCTGGTTTCTCTTTCTTTTTTTTCCTTCGGATTATTCCCAGCGTATGAAACGCAAGAGCGCGCCAGCGACCATTTCATTGAGAACTTTCTCAATGTCAGGTTCGCGACACGAGCCGACGAGACGCATCGACGAATCTGTGTAAGTACGCGTCACGACACGAATCACCTTCAGTTAGCGCCGCTGTCAATTAAGAATGTCTGTTTTCGCAGCGACGCATTCCTCGTGGTAAAAATACATTTACATACTTGTCGTCCGTCTGTCTTCTCTGTTCCTTTTGCTTACTGTATATGTACTTCTTCGAAAATGCCCAGGTTGATGCTATTTTTAGAAGCATCGATGCGTTTAAAGGGTATCACAGATTGCGTTTAACGCGACGCTCGTAATTAAGACATCGACGTACAGATTCTTAGCGTCGTATCTTTCTTAGTATCCGCAGGGTTGGAAGATAGGAGTATGAAGCAGTTTCCGTATCCAAGTAAAAGTACAATTAACATACGGTGAATTTTTATGGGAAATTTAAATGCGTAAATACGCGTAAAATACACGTAATACGCAAAAATATATGGAACATTCGAATATTCTGTAATAGTATACTCATTTCTCAGCGAACCAAATTATTTTCATAGTATGAAATTGTTGCATTCATACGAGGAATACTATATACGAAGGAAACAAAATTGAACGCATTTCGATTAAATTTCGAACGCATTTAATTTAATTAGCATGTAAACGGTGTAATAAATAGAATGGTGTGCTAAAATCACGTTATTGTCTCTACGTTACAATCGTTCGGTAATTAAAAAGATCAAAGGATAGAAAGTAGGAAAGCAACGTTTGTGCAATCGACACACGTAACGGCAATTTATGTCTATGTATCTGAACGGGACTCTGTATACGTGTGTACCGTTGCGCAAGTCGACGCGGATAGAATATTTTTCGTTGTTACTCGCCGGAAACACGCTATTCTATCTAACGAGCGACTTTAATTGCCACCACCGATCTTGCTCTTCGCGCGATACAAAAGGGCGGTAGAAGTTTATGTACGCGTTCTTTTCTCAAAACGAGCTTCGATAAGACGAAGAATAGGCTGCTCGGAAGAATCAACCGCCAGGATTTCCGATTCTCAATCAGACGGAAGCGGAATAACCTTTCTTGAATGCAACGGAAGCTCACGCGCGGTGACGCGTGATTGTATTTAAATGGCCACGCGCTAAAAATCGGTGTCGTTCAATGCCACGTGCCGGTAATTCGGATACGTCGTTTCTTCCTTTCTTCTTCTTCTTCTTCCTTCTTCACGATTCAACGGCTTTCGTTCGTACGAAGCTACAATTAATCGAATCACCTGGAACCGGCGATTCTTGGTTCATAAAAAAAAAAAAAAACAAATTCACATAAAAGCTCCGCTCCCCAGCGGCTTAAACCCAAAAATTGTACTAAACAAAAAAAAAAATATAAAGCGCCGACACATAATATAGTACGTCGTAGCGCCGCGTATCGGTACCTTTGCCTAACACATCATTACAAAAATTCACCGTTTATTGTGAATACCAAAATGTATTTAAAACTGTATCTTGGATTAAACAAACACCATTAAAAATAAAAAATAAAAAAGAATTCTTGATTCATACAAACGAGTTTATTACATCGGCGACGGTGTTTCGCAGGTTTCTGATACAGCAGATTCCATGTGTTCGTAGGAAACAACGGGATAAATGAAAGGAACGAGTATCATCGAAATACTGTACACGCGTTTCGGTGGATTCGTTAAAAAGTATACGTGATATTGGATTGGCAACTAAGTGATTGCGGATTTTGTCATTAGATGGTATTGACAAAATTCGCAATCACTTAGTTGCCAATCCAATAGAACAACATTCGTCTCGTGGAATTTCATAGTTCGTAATACGACGATGCAAGGTTATTTTCGGGCGTCTTTGTTTTGCTTCTTTTGCCCTCTCTTTCGACTGTAATTAATCCATTCATCGTGTTTGAATAAAAAGTGTCGTATATGGATACTTCGGTCGATCTATAGCAACGTTATGTACACATTGTACGTAGATATATGAATCGACAAGAGACTAATGCAATAAGTAAAAGTAGTATTTACCGTGATCGTATAAAATGAGCGAATAATAAAATTTCAATCCACGTATCTAGCAGTAGTTTGAAATATGAATACTGTTTGAATCGATTGTGCAATGTAAGTTTAGAGAAACTTGTCTTATCTGATCTGTATCTTAAATACTACGTATAATGGTTTGAGTATAGATGCTTATCTTACTCAGAATGTTTCCCGATTAAAAATATCGAGGTGGAGTGCGCGGAGATGGAACTGAATGGAATCTTTTATGGTAATTCGTCGACTGACTTTAACTACTTGAAGAAACAGCTAATTTTTATTCAGGAGAATCGATCGTTTGTTTATTAACACACCTCGTTTAATTGTGGCGACTTGACGCTTCTTAGTAAATTATCGTAGATCGAGATGTATTATCGTTTGTCTTGTTATGTTTATCCTCAGTTATATTTAACGACCGCCTCTATCGCCTTCGATTACTCGAACAAGAAACTTTGTAAAGCGATCTTCGAATCCAAGTTCTTCTTTCGAAGGATAACATATCCATAATTCTTCACGCGGTTGTTTTTATGCTGGTGATTCGTGAAAGTTTGAATGCTTATAGAAACCTTTTTGCGTATATCGTACGAGATATCTCGAAATTTCATTCGTAGTGTCATCATATATATAAATTGGCGAAGTTTGGAACAAATTCGAAAATGCACATAGAAGATCGCAAGATATAAGATCATTTAATGTAACTGGGTATACCATACTTGCTAGAAACCACGAAGGTATTTGTAATCAATTATCTATTGTTATTAATTATGATTGTTATCATATTAATAAGCCTGGATAATTCAACAGTTCCGTCTTTGTCATTTATTACATGTTTCAGCTGTTCACGATGTATACTACCTTTTTTTTTTACTGAATATTTGTTCGCAGTTTCGCAGAAACTATCTCGTGCTTTCCGTATATTCGTCTTGAAATCGATTTCAAGTTTTATCAATACGGCCGTGACAGTTGTATATCGTTATGCAAATGAAATTTCAAAATGTTTTATATAAAAAATATCTTTCTATGCCAAGTGTTACGGTAAATGATATTTCCGATTTTTACGTTCGAAAATGTAGTTGTACATTCGGCGTTGATTTTCCTCGAGATCGGCACACGAAGATATCAGAGCAAAGTCCACTTAAAAGTGTGCCGTAAAATGCAAAACGAGGAATAGCGTAGCGCGATCGTATCGCGTTCGAACGGCTCTGATCGAGAGAATTTCCGGAATGAAGACGATAAAAAGGGTTCGATCGGGGAAACTAACAGAACACCGAGGAATATTTTCACGTTCGTATCGCTGTAACCACGGAGGATGCGTCGAGTCTTGAAATACGCGCGCGCGTGTGCCGCGCACGCATCGACGAGAGGCGTGTGGTAAAAAAGGCGCCAGCGAGGTTATTCTTGCATCGTCACTGATACATTTTGCATATTATCGTATGCAAATAGCGTTGTATAGCGATCCGACGAGCGAGATTGCCGCGGATGGAAACCTCTTAAAACCTGTATCGAATGAACACGCGTGAGCACACTGAAAATAATTTTCGGCCCAAGTATTCCCAGCTTTACACCGATCATACCGTGGAATTACGTCAGCCATATTCCGTATCGGCCGACGTGGAAATTCGTCGGTTCGGTATGCAAATGCAAAGCGAGAAAGCCACAAAATTAAACGCCTCCTACTTACTGCCTACTAGTCCTCCGATACAGTTCTAAACGATCTTTGCCTCTTTCTTGTCCTTTTTGTATTTAATGACCAACTATCGCCATGTACACGCAAACTCGTGAAAGCATTCGAACGCTTGACGACACGTTTTACGAATATATCGTGCGTGTTGTAGGAAATATTTTAAAATTTACGAGACTCGACCGTGTTCGCAACGTTTGAAACAAACGCGAAGATATATACCGATAGAAGCTACGAGATAATTAAGCCAAGTTTATTATATTAGGTTATTCGAAAAGTGTTTTTCTCTTACAGACACGTCTTTCACAACGACTCATCTTTATACAAACATGAAACCTAATCTGTCGAACGTTGTGATCTTTATTTTGATAGAACAAAATGGATCATACGTAATTCGATAAAATAATATAAAACGGAAAATGTTGTACCTCCGCTATTTCCTTATAAAACGAAAGAAACTTTCCGGACGACCTAATACTTAGCAGAAGTCGTAAGAATATTGAAACAGTTAATCATCGGTTAGAAATAGCGTCGAACAAAATATTAAGCGAATGTTTGGAATTCCCTTTCGTGGCTGCCATGTTAGAAACAGAAGCCGATGGGGTCACGGCAAAGCTGACCCTTAATGGATTAATATTAATCATCGAATTACTGAGAATTCTAGATAACTCAGAACGATAAAAACATGTTCAAACAACGTTATGTACAGGATTCTCGTATTCGCCGTATCCCTTGATAGTTTACTTCGCAATCTTGTTTGTGGCTGTACATAGTCCACGGTGTAACGTAATAGAAGCACAAGCTCGCATGGTCGTGGTTCATGCGTACACAAAACGGCTTGTCTCCCTTTTCCTAATTGAAACCTAAATACACTGCCATGTCATCGATAATTAAGTTACGTCAACCGTTACAGTGAAATTTGCGTGTTCACCAGGAACAGGCTGTTTGCCACCCTACCATCGAACGCATGAAATTCGATTAAGAATAATACTTCTACTTTAGCATGTTCTCTCTGATATAGAGGAATATCTATTCTCGAACACGTCTATTCTGAATCGTGCAAAACACGATTATTCACAGACTGGTATTTTGCCACCAATAAACAATTTCTCTCGCGATCGAGTATTCGAACACGATCTCTCCATAATTTTCTAGTAGGCATTTGCATAAGATGCCTCGGTACGGTCGGATAATCTGCAAGAAGGTGAACAAATAGATAAACTATGTAATACAATTTTTTATACGACACGTCGTTGTCGATAACACTGGAAAACAAATCGTCGTATCGTTTTGTTTGAAAGTTTAAAGCTTCGTTTACTACTTACGTGTACGTACAGCGAACTTATCGTGCAGCTGATTATCGACCATCAAAAAAATGTGTTCTGTATAAAAAATTATACAGAATTTAAATTTTTCAAGATATTGATAAGAAATACGTGATGCTCGCTGCATCGCACAGCCGTTATATATTTCCCAATGTGATCATCGTTCGAAACTGGACTACAACTGCGGCAGGTAATTCAGTGACCTCTTTCACTTACGTCGGAAGACAGCTCTTTCAGTAGCGTCGATGACTTTAGGGAAACAGGTGGCGATGCTATATATTAGCGCGATACGCGCAACGATTAGAATCCGTTGCGTTGCGCGTAACATCGGAAGGTTCGTTCCCGAGCCGGGACACGACCGTTTCACCAGCAAAATCATCCGTGTAACATTTCTCTCGCGTTGTAACTATCTCGCGGCCGTATATTATTCCGTTGGACGTTGTCCAATCGTTGCCGCTAAACAATTTACGGATTATCGCGGCGGCACGCGATCATAGCTCGCGTGAGCTCTCTCGAGTCCAGTCTAGACGTCTAGAAACTGCGATTTGCCAAACGAACGAAACGAAAGGCGATAATGAAGCAGGCGTGCGCGTACGCGACCGTGTCGTACGCGAGGTGTCGTCCGTGAACCGGACCGTGGGAGAACTGTTCCTTGTTTACGGCATAATTCAACAGATATTAGGTAACAGCCGTGTGAACTACGACAGAGCAACACATGGCGCGCAGGGACGGCCGACGAATTTCTTCGCGCCCTCTCCTCAACAGGAAATCGTATGAGACGCGTGGCAGCCGCGCCAACTCGGGAAACATTGCTCTCCACTCTCCACCCGACGAATTACGGGTCAGTTTGTTCCTCTTCGTAGCCGTGCAACCGATGAAATTGTTATTTTTAGCGTGTGCGCCCCGTTATTCTCTCTCTCTCTCTCTCTCTCTCTCTCTCTCTCTCTTTCTTTCTTTGGGAACTTCACACTTGGCTCGACGATTATCCTACACCACGATTATTCCGCCTTAAGATCTCTGTTACTATTCCACGAAGTAATTATGCCTCGACAAGCGTGAATCGTGAAATTGCGCCGAACTATTATATTATCGTTCGTAGATCGTTCGTTGGGAACGAATTGAAAAGACTGTTGCAATAAGGAGCTTCACTCGATAATAATTCGAGATCAATTCATAGTCGATTAGAATGAAATTAGATTTTAAAGCTGTCATTGAGTGATATTCGGGGTGGTAAATTGTTGCACTTTTGAGTACGAGATCTGTGTCTTTCTGTTGCTTGCGGTAAATGCGATTTTAAATGCGAGTGTCACAGGCGATGATTCGTGGCAAGCAATGTTTCAATAGATGCGATTCATCGTGTTCTTTTCATGTAATCTTCATTCGAATCCTGCGGAAGTCGCGCGCTGATCTATTCCATAAATTAATACACGTGGAAGAACTACGATTGCAAATGTTATTCGTTTCGATTCGCTTTTTCAATCTTTAACGAAAGATTATTATTATTATTATTATTATTATTATTATTATTATTATTATTATTATTATTATTATTATTATTATTATTATTATTATAACGAAAACTCCTTGTGACAGATAAATTCGCGAAAATTAGATTTCGATTCTGTGACGTTGAATCTGATAACTTCGCGAAAAGTGAAGCTGATTCGAGGATTCGCGAGAGGTTCGATTATAAACCGAGCGAAGAGAACGATACGCGTGATTCGTGAAAGTAATCGAAAATTTCTATAAATACAAAACGTTATCGAATAAACACCATGAGACGTTTTGAAATTTCATTAGCATTCATTGCAGCTACCTCTTTGTTACCGCAAATTCTTCGATCGCTGTAATCGAAGCGGTGAACACATGATCGAATCAATTTTTCTCAACGAAACGTAAAACCTGGCAAAGTAAAACGAATTACCTTGATTCTGCCGTATCGATGAACAGCACCTGGTAGAAAACGAATTTTAGACCGGATTTCGCCGATTCCCGAGCTCCCCTAACAACCAGAGAATCGTTGCTAATTGTGACGATCGAATGAGTCGACCTAACCCGCGGTTCATACCAGTTCATACTGGTTGACAGCTTATTAATTTTGCTTCGTCTTCGCGGTGGACTGCTAACTCGATTCTTTCATTAAGATCTCTGACTGCAGAAGTACGACGAGCGCGCGCGCAAAAATCGCTGCATTCGTTTCGCATTTCACGCACAACGTTGCGTTCGATTTAACGTGCTTCTTGTAGCTCGATGGTCTTGCGTGATTCTAGAAAAATCGTGTATTACAAATGGTGATTCACGTACAGCGGCCGGCACGATTATTTCTAGAATTTGAGATCACGTAGAAAGAATGCACGAACGAAAAAACTGCTCAAAGTGGGAGGGAGGAGTCCTGTATCGTTTCGCAGATCTGTATCGTAAGAAGTAATCGTTGGCAGGTGTTTTTAATGCAAGTTCAACGACTCGCGTCGCGATAACGTCGGCGAACCTAAATACGCGATAGATATTTCACTTGTAAATTTGTGACAGCGATGTCGTTTCATACAATAGATAAAAGCCGCAGGGGAACAACGCGAGTCATATTTTTCGTATTTTACAGGCAAACGATATTAAATTAAATTTCATACATTGTCGGTTGATTATCTGTTACTAAAGCTAGTCTTTTATTTTATTTTTATTTTATTTTAAAGGCAATAATATCCCTTTCCACCTGCTCTCACAACCTAAAAAATATCGATTGCCTTAATATTACAATTTTGAAAGATGCTAAAATATCGGATATATCAAAGCATTCTGTTACATCTTTTGTACGTTCCATGCAATTTCCGCAACTATATGTTCGGAGCCCACGCGTTCTCTCCAATTGCAGCTATTTTATATTAAAATATTTCACTTCGGTCATAGATCGGCATTAACATACAAAGATCAACGGAAGATATATACTTATCATATCTTTCCTGCGAATTTTAATGGCGATGAAAAGCTTATACAAGGCGGGAAATAATAGTGTATTATCTGACGAGGAAAGTTTACAATTTAGTGGAGCGAAGCACGCGGTGAAAACATGACTAGTGACGAAATCCGATCAAACTGTTTTTCCCTTCGATCGCGGTTAATCGACGCCAGCAGACTTTTCGGCACGCGAACACGGCTGCGGTGTTGATCAAATTCGTCCACCGAATCGTAATTCGGCCGGTAATATAAATACACACGGACAGGGGAGGAGCGTAGGTCGGTGTTGGTTGGATGAATGAGCTCTCGCGGGCGTACCTGTTTCGAGCACGTGTCGTCGCAAACAGAGAATCGGTGCCTGTCCTGTCGTTGTGTTTACAGCGTGGCCTGTGAACAGTGCGCGGTGCCGCGGGGGAAAACACTCGAAGCGGCCCGTACACGCTACACACCGTATGTACTCTGTACCGACTAAAAATATATCGTTATGCCATACAATTCTTGCGACGCTAAAATTGGAAAGCCACAGCGCGTCCGATCGGCCAGCGAGCTGGACAAGTTGAATCTCTAAACAGCGTTTTTCGAACTCCATTAATCACAATTTTACGCCTATATGCGGCCAGAGAAATACAACAGGACCATCTGTTACTTATTATACGGATATACAGAGGCTCGCGAGAATATTCGAACAATTGTAGAAATCTTGTAAGAATACGTATATTAGATATATACGTTATACGAAAAATTTTAAAATTTCATTGGCACCGTTATTATTGGAACTCGGCTATCATGAATTTCGTATTATCGTATCGTAAGTTCAACTCTCGTGCGCTAACATGTTTTGTTATGCTGATCTTATAGCTATAGAGGAAGAAGTTTTCCTTATCCCAGAGAATACGCTTTATTCTTCTTTCAGAGGGAAAAATATGAATCGTATGTTAATATAATTTTTATACTCGTTACGCCTATAGCATTATTTATTGCGTTATTTTAATACATTTATACATTGTACAAAATAACTTACTTCATTTTTCTTTCACACATTATGTATTTCACTACTCGTTCCTTAACGAATTCACAAACATTTCACTCTCATTGATGTGTTGCAAATGGTATTACACGATGCTAGTAGCCAATTTTTACTCGCGTTATATAAGTGTCATTGCACGAGGTCCTATCGTCACCGTTTCGTTTCATTTCTTAGTTTTCTGTTTCTGCGTTCCCCGGTCTTTTCTCTTCGCGAACGACTAGCCTAGAACCTGCGAAACGAAACAAAACGAAACGGGACGTGCGTGTATATCATTTACTAATAGGTTTTTTCGCCTTTGCCGTTCGAAGAATGCGGTTTCCCTTGAACCTTGCACCGTGATAGCCATGCTCGTCCGCTCGTGTACTGGCTAACGTGTTATAATTAATAATTTGCCTCGAACGTTACGGTTATTTATAACAACACGTAGACCGACAACAAGCACGATCGTTCATGCTTGTTCACGATTGTTTTCTTCGATATGCAGCGTTTTTATTAATTAAGGATTTGCCAAGAGACAACCTCGTTCTACGTTCTCGTATTACGGCGACCGCGTGTCGTTACGTTCGCGCATACACGCGACATACGCCGGCCGATGACTCGCGGTTATTCGTTCTTACATTGTTCTAAATAACGATGTCGAGTTTCTTGAATACCTGCCGAATTTCATCTAGATTCTAAATTAACGTTAGGTGAATCCGTCTGCCATCAGGCCAATGTTAAGAGCGCAGCTTTCGCGCGATCTGCGAATGAAACGGCCAACACAAAGCTATTAGAAGCGACGCTCGCGGCAATTCCTCGTACACGTTCACGGTCGCTTCGTTTTTATCTTGCTGTGCACTATAAACTTCCTCTCTGTTGTTCCGTCTCGCTCTTTCCCCCTCTGCCTTCGTACACTATGGCTCATAAGTATCCAACACTTTGGTCCGTAGTAACAGTACATAAATTTTATCGAGCAGTTAACGAGGAAATAATCGATAGAAACAATACCGTACTTATTACGTTTCCTACGGAGTCACTTGGTCTATACGCTGACTACCAAACATATTTCCACACCATTGTATTTCTTATAACGTTTATATAGTATTTAATTAAGCGCAAGTGTATTATCAAGCTTCGTATATCATTTGACAGTATTTTCGACGTGATAAAACGACGCTTCTTTGAAAAATAAGAGTATGCGCTTGCCAATACACACATGGCCACTTAGCTATTAACTAGAAGGAGTGTTGTAAAAATTAATAATCGATTCGATAGCAATAATATTATTAGAATTATTATCAGATACTTACATATGCATATTATTATATCTTGTAGAAACGTGCAAGTATCCGGATACTTTGAAGCGGTAGTGTACATCGCCTCGTTCCGTTCACTGCTCGACGAAGACGCCTTGACATCGACGACACGTGATGTTACTCTGGTCCGTTCTCGAGCGAAATATCGAAGGATACTTTAATTATAGTACCGTCATCGATTGTCCCGCCTACCGTCCCGCTTCATATTTCAAATGTACATATGCACCGATCTCCTCTCTCCCTTCACCATTCTGGAAGACCGAAAATTAACACTGGCTGTTTACACGGATCTCACGTCCACGCCGGATCATCGAATACGCTCGAGCATTATCCAATACACACCGCGATGATAATGAGAACGACCATTACCGCGAGCGTCGCATTAATTGCGATTACGCGACTCGCGTTGATGCGAACCAGCGCGAAATCCTTTTCTGCCTTACGCAAGCCACCCGTCTGTTGTCGCAGGTAACTCGGACTTCCGATGGAACCAGTCTCGTATAGTATACAGGAATTTCGACACCAGTTTCCCATATACGCGCAATGTCCCGAACGTAACAGCCATATTTTGTCAGTATATTTTATGGGTATATAATATATTTTATAGATTGTTTGATACTACGCGAAAGATTTGCATCTTTAAATCTTCCATAAATGCATAAATATTCGCGATCTAATAATAAAAATTTGTCAACGCGTTCTATAAGATATTCGATCGATTTGTTGTCACTACGTATATTCTGCTTTGCTGCTTTGACTCTCGAATATTTAAATAAATTCATAAACATTGGCAACCTGATTATGTCTTTTTATGGTAATAAGAAGAATTTAGTGGCAAACTTTAAGCTTCTAAAGCTTTAAACACTCGCTGTATCGTATATAATCGTTTCGTACGAGTTGTATCGCAGATTTCTACGATGGTTTCGTCGTAGTCTGTTTTAAAAAGCGCAGACTTTTAGAATTTCTATTAGCACGGAAACGCGAGCTCGTTTATTAATGTTGTTATCAAAGGGTCGATATTCTTGTACTTTGAATTTTTAGTTCGCTTCCAAGAAGTTGTGGATATAAGATCTGATTGCTAGTGGATGGAAAAGCTCATATTTTCCAAAGGGAAACTTATCTCCATGGATTTATCTTTGGAGGAACTGACACGGATTCTCGTTCTGGCGTGTCCTGATCGAACGCCTGCGTTAAGTCTCTTTATATCGCATTGGTCCTCTCATAAAACGGATGAAACGTTTCACAGGCTGAGTTTCATAGGACGAGAAAATTCCGACCAACTCGAAAAAGAACGAAGGTAGAAGAAAATTACTTTCCTCGGAGCTAGTTCGTTTTCATCGTACCTGCAGGCAGAATCTGTTTCTGTAGAAAGTTTTTAAAGGAAGCTATAGCTGGGAAGAATAGTAATTTGTTTACATTTCATTTGCTCCATGTACGTAATGCATTCGTCTTCTGCAAAATAGTGATTCTATGAATATGCACTATGCATTTTTTCTTTTTTTCTTTTTCTTCCTTTTTTTTTTTCTTTTTTTCGAGCAATAGAAATTTATGCAGATTTGTAAAATAGAATTTAAACGAAGATTTGCTTTGCTTATTAAATATTACTTTAGCTTGAATATTTTACACATGTTTGTATAATATGTGTAGCCTGCGTATCCTCGAACCTTTAAATTTTCCATAAATACATAAACATCGGCGCTCTAGTAACGTATACGATACGATTTGTTTCAAGTTCGTAGTAATTTATGTTACGTTAGTCAACAGAGCGAACTTCAACTGGTGATATGCAGATCGAACGTCCATATTTGGAATGCAATTAGCGTGGACTTAAAGGAAAGGCAAAGTTTTAAGCACTTAAATAGTAAATAACGATGAGATAAAGCAAAATTTCGGAGGAATGACACTATCATCTATGCCGGAGGATAGGACCAAATGTTTGGAATGCAATTAGCAATGCGCCGAAGTTGAACGTCCAAGTGTTTAGAATTTAGAGGTTTAGTTAAGGTCGATAAGATAGAGCAACGTTCAGGAAGAATGACGCTGTCATCTATACGTGAGAACGATCGATCGATGTATGTGTGTAAGAATGACAGAATATCTCTACATCACAATGGACATTTATTTTACATGCATCCATATATTTTTTGTTCTAGTTGAAAGAAACACGATGAATGAGTTTTTCCTTTCGTGTCGTTTGAATAGACACGTGCAAGATATGCAATCGATAAAAATTTATTGCATGTGCACGTAAAAATGCTTCTTCGAGTGGCAAGATAATGTGATTGTCGAGATAAATACTTAAATAATGTTTTCGCGTTTATAGACAGCGCTCAGCAATTTGGAGGAGATGCAGCACAATTCCATGGTGTATCGTAACAACGAGAGGGGTAGGAGCATGGGAGTTGGACCGATGCGACCTCGTCCGATGGAAAAAAGGCACGATACTTCACCGTACAGCGGTGTTCCGTATCTTTCACCACCGCCACCGGACACATGGAGGAGAACGAATTCAGACTCGGCTCTGCATCAAAGCGCCAACGAAGCCTGCCAGTCAAACACCACCATCCCCCATCGACGAGGTATAGATACGTTCAATCTTGCTTTTCCTGCTTTTCTTCGTCATCCACAGGGGGCGATCGTTACTGCAACAAAGAAACTAATAATATCAAGGATACGATAAACTTACCGAAAGATAGTATCGTAACAAACAATCACGGAAATTATATTATAGAGTAATATAACGGTAAACATTGATAATCTAGCGAAGCAAGGGAGAGAAAATTAGGTTCAAAGAGGGGAAGGGAGCTTCGAGATATGAAAAGGGTATTAAAAAGGTAGCGTGGGTAGAGTGTTAGTTAAGGAATGGCTGAGTGAAAAAGAAAGGAAAATAGGTAGGACAGAAAATAGCAGAGAAAGGGAAGAATACTTTTGAAGAAATAGTTACCTAGGTTAGCTAGGATTGTAGAAGATCTAAGGCAGCAGAAGCTTGATATAATTAAAGTTCTGACGGAACGGGAGAAAGAGTTGCAAGGTCAAGTGCGATATCGTGAAATTTGGAACGCCAAATATAACAGTAGGTAGAAATATATAAGAACAGTGAAGGAAGCGGAATACGTGGAGAAAGAAGGAAAAGAAGGCAACCAGAGGCTAATTGCGAGGATAAGATGCGGATAACGTGTAGGAGAGAAATCGTTCCTGGTTGGAAGAGTAAAAACGCAAATGTATTCTGTGTAGTTTAAAGATAGATATCTTGAAACACCTGTTAAAACGATGCTGTAGGATAAATTCTAGCGTATTGAAAGAGAAGATAGGATAAGAGATTTGAAAAAAGATCGTAGGGATATAGGTAGGTACCGAACTAATTAAAAGCCAAAGGTAAACGCGCGATACTATACAAATTAAGTATAGGATAGTGTACATAGAAATAAAAAGAAATAAAGCTATATATGTGGGTGTTTGGATGTGATGAATGCTACAGTTGTATGGAATTGCATGGCAGTTAGATATATAGCAAGCAAAGTTCGTTGGTAATCTGATAATCTTGCAACGATGAAATAAAATAATAATAATAATAATGTGTTTCGTTTAAAAATTGGATAAAACTTTTCAACGTACATACGTACGCTATATATATATATACATAGATATATCCATGGAAATAAGGACGTATTTAAGTAATCGTTGCTAATTAAGCCTAAGTGGATCTGTCTACCGATGAACGGTGTCGCGCGCGATTCCTCCTGTTCATCACACTCGATCCAGCCTAGTGTTCCTTTTTCTTGCGATCGACACGTTTTTCTTCTGTATCTGATTCGTTGTGATCCGATCACATCGCTTCGTGGAAACACGTTACTAGTGTTACAATGCGTTTTGATGATGCCGACCGCGCTGAAAATTGTACTGGCCGCGTACGATTCGCGGAAAAAAGAGCGCGCCAATCAGGCGGTTGCTTGTTAACCAGTCGCAACAGAATTGTGTCGCAAAATGTTTTATCGTGGGGGAAACACGCGTCATCTAGACGCGACAAATAGTCAATTTGTTCGGATATTCGATACGATATATCTGGTACAGTTCAGCCAATTCGCGCCCTCGTGAATCTTCCCGCGCGATTTTCCCTTTTTGTTCGCAAATTGAAAACGAACGTTTTGCAATTTAAAGTCTACACTTTGTCACAGTCTACGTTTGTCGTACGTATTCCATCCGGACAATTCTCCAGCTATGAATTGTCTGAAAGGAAGTTTTTTAAATAAAGAAACTGCAACGCTTTCTTCTTTGATTTCTGAAAGCTAGAACCGAGCATACTTCAAATATGGAATAACGAGACTAATTTAGTCGTTGCAATAGAAATATCGACAAATGAAATTTATTTTGCAATTTAATGGAGTTTTGGCTAAATGTACGATGTTTTGATGAAATTGACTTGCTGTTAAATTTGTATTTGAAGAAAAAGAAAGGAACGATATTTCATCCGTATAATTGTAGAAACGAAATTTTTGTATTTGATCAGATATATAATTCGATGACCAACACCGTACTCAGAGATTCTCGTTTATTCACGTTTCTAAACCCTGCACGACAACCCTCCAAGCTCACCATTTTAAGGCTCATTTTTTTCTCGAAATTGTCCTGGCTATCGTTCCCCGACCCTTCATTTAAAGAATCGTAGTAACGACGACGTAAATAGAATTGAACGTTTCACGCAGAGCGTGGTTAATCTAGAACGTAATCTTCGAACCATTAAGTCAGTTTTCGCGTCGTTTCTGGGATCCGCCCCGTTTGAAAAAGTACGTGTCTCGCGCTCGAGCCAACTGTGCTCCGCATAATAAACGCTTTCGGTTGTCGCGTAAATAATTCCGCCGACACGTATCACCGATGGCGTGTATTATTTCGAGAATTATCACCACGTTTCCCCTCCGACGTTTCTCGTCAACTTTTGTTTCGGTGTGATTTTCACGAAGACACTCGTCTCAGAAATTCCCTCATTATCATATTACCTAGTTACCTCGTTGTACGTCCGCCACTCGGCCTCGAGTAGCTGCCTGGCAAATTTTCGACGAAGATCAAGCATTTTAAGCCTTGCAAGCTGGTTTCTTGTCTGAACAAGGATTTGTCAGGATCCTCTTTTGCTGCGTTTAATTGTCTTCCTTGATTTAGAGGTCACTCCGATAAGATATAAGCTACGTATATACAGTAGACACTGACAGATGTCGATATATACAGCTTCACGAAAGTATCCGAACGTTTACAGACATTTTTCATGAATACGTTAATGTGCGTTAATATGAAATATCTTGAGACTTGATTAGCACCGTGATATGATTATCGTGATCGCATTGGTAATGTTTAAAAGAAATCTGGAAATATTTATAGAGATTACAAGATATTTAATACAATATATATTACACAAGCATGCATGGTATTAGTCAATTATCTGTTACATTAATAAACTTGAACAACGTGTGACTATTTTCCTGTGATAATTACGTTCTTGAAAATAATTGTCCTTCTAGATGTATATTAATTATGCATCTACGAATCCTATTATGTAGAAGCGGAGTAAACCAGTTTGGATTCTGAAAAATTTATATTCTCTGAAGAAATTTTTAATGCGAAGTCAATGCGCACGCGTGTGTGTTTTTTTTGTAGAATATTGACACGAAAATTACAAACCATTTTCTCGTTTTTCAATTTATTCAAATCATTTTATGACGGAAATATCAATAGTGATAAGTCGGCGTTTTATTTATTGCGCGAACTATTAAAAACAGAGTACGATACACGTTCCTACGATGGTCTACGTGTGAATTCAATTAATTGTACGTAGAAAAGTTTTACTTCTATCTTTTTCCCAGCAATATACCATTTGAAAATACATTTCCTGTAGTTTGACGTATAAATAAAAAGCGACCTTTTTGTATTTTTATTTCGTGCAAATACTCGTTTTATTTTATACGACAAAAGTAGAAAGGTAAAAATAGAACGAAATACAATGTCCAGCTCGGCTCTTAACATAGCGTTACAAATGTTTAATGAATTAATTCAGCACCTCGCTATATTCTGCCCTGTGATATACTCGCGAAAAATGGGGCACCGTATCGATAAAAAGCGAGAAACTATTAAGAGCTTCCTGCGAAAGATTTGGAATTTGCGAACAGGTCTTTAGAAAGACGGGTCATTGGCCGAGGCAGGTTTTCCGATTCCGGTCGGTCGGATATACGCGGCTTCGATGATTCCCTCTTAATCTGTTACCGACCAGCGACACGAGGGGATCGGAACTGAAACGTTATACCCGTAGTAATGTTAGCAAGTAGCAAGCATTACATGGTGTTAGGTTGCTTCAACGAAATCGGACGCTCTGCCTTGGGACTACGTATCGTGTGCATCACCCTCCAACTATGGCACGTTTTAAAGCATAAGCGTCGAAAAGCTGCAATTGAATTAATTGTAGAATTACCAGAATTATCATAATCATCGATTCGTAATTGTTCATATAAATTTTATAAACCTCGTAGATTTGATGTATTTGTTTTATTATTTGAAAATGAATTAAATATTCTAGGAAATTTGGACTATTATTATTATTGTTATTTTCTTGGAAATTTGAATTATTAATACAATGAAAATTTTCACGGAAATTTGAACTATTAATGTAATGAAGTTTTCTCGGCAATTTGAATTATTAATATAATGAAATTTTCTCGGCAATTTAAATTATTAATATAATGAAATTTTCTTGGATGTTTGAATTATTCGATGCTGCGTTTTTCACAATTTCAGTGATCTTTTTCTAAAGAATGTTTTCATCCTTGCATCGTGTATTCTTTAATCAAAATGTGCATCATATTCATTACTCGTGTTAATTATAATTATGCTTTACACAATTGTGGTGTTTTTTTTATTACCATATATATGTTTTAGATTTACTTTCGTTTACCGTATCCTTCATTGCGATTCATTAAGCTACAAACTGGACGTTTTTTAGCCACCGCTAATTCAAGCGTTAATAGTCGACAAATTGCCTCGAACACGGCAAAATTAACAATATTTAGAATTAATTACTTATCGTTTGATCCTTCGTGTTGCTACTTTTAACCTTTTTATCTTACATTTTATAATTCGTTGTATATAGATCAGCATACCATAACTGGGTCCGGGAGCGACAACAGGGACCTGCATTACGGATTCATCGAACGGCCAAGATCATCCTGTGAAATACCTCGAGTGCCTGGAAGCAAGTAAGGAAACTTTTTCTCTCCCTCTGTATCGACCAGCGATACCAACCCCGTATCGATTTCGATTAGCCGGCTCAAGGAAAAAGACGGCTGAAATTTTACGAATCTCGTGGAATATCTCCTCTTGATAAGTACACTGTCTATTGTTGCACACCAGTATATGCATTATTTATACGTCGTGGCTATTGTACGAAGTTTCATTGTATTCACGACGCATTATATCGCACATACTAATGCGCTCGTGCACAGAGTTTATATAATTTTGAATAGGGATCGTCCGGTCTATCCTCAGGACAGTCTTAAATTTTAGCGCGTTCGCGACAAGCGATCGAAGTCTAACTCTCATCTTTGTATTTTATTAGTCGTCTTATCTATCATCTACTTTCTAAACGATTGTCTAATAATATCATATAGTAGAAGCTTGATTATTAAAACATCGATTAAACGATCGATCATCGAAGAGTTAATTAGCGAAACATTTGACGATGGTTGGCCGTAAGAAAAATTATAAATTCCTTAGCTTTTGGAAAGCTATCCGTTTAATGTTAACGTTTGAAGATAACAGATGATAAAAGTGATAAGTTCGTTCGTGTAGAATTTTGCTATTCTAATATTATCCAATGTTTAAGGGGAGTATACACGTTATAATTTCTTCGGATAAATAATTATATTCTACTCTAGTCGAAATATTCCAGTTAATTCAACAAATTCTAGTTAATCTCGTAGAATTTGAGTTCCTAGTTTTGCACTTTCGTATTACGGTTGGACAACATTGACATTGGTCGAAGTCGTTTCGAGAATGACTGGCGCCTCGAGACTCTGACAGTTACTATAGATTCTCGTGCGCTTCTCTCTCGTAAATGCATCGATTTCTGATTGAAGCACGTATTTGTCTTGCAGCATAGATCCGAGCTCTCAGCCACCAGGACAGCAAATTCCCATAGGCAACACGCGATCGTTGCCCGACCTGGTCCACTTCCCGTCGGATCAAGAGGATCACTCGAGCAGTACACCATTCAGCAACGTAAGTTCGTCCAATTACGTGTCCTTCACGCGGCTCAGTTTCTTCTTAAACCTTACGAGGCTGTACATTCGTAAATCACCTTTTATTACAGTCGTAGCTTCCTTCGTTATTTTATTTATTTATTTATTTTATTTTATCGTGTTCATTATAAAGGGGAATTTCTGTCTTTGGTATTCGTCGGTCTAATCTCTTAAGCTGATTCGTCGTACGCTATCGCTGAAAGATATGCGGGCGCTTGTTTCTATCCGATAAAATTAAATTCAGTTAGAAAATTGCAAACAAGAAGACCAAGTACGATTTTATACTTCATTAGAGAACTTTATTAGAGAATCGCAATATGAAATTTATTTTTAAAAGATAACTTACGATAGAAGAACTGTCATTTGTAAGCGTTAAACGTTACGGAGCAGTTTTATTATTTTAAAAGCTCATTGTCTTCGATTTCATTTCCTTTGGACAAAGCCCTTTCAAATTAATACAGAGAAATTAATTGCATCAATAAAATTAAGGACTCGTTCAAATTTCCACGAATTAATTTTAATATATCATTGATAAAGTTTTGAATAAAGAAGAGTATCTATATATAATTGATTGCATAAGATATAAACTATTGCTT